TTTAACTCTTTCTTCAGCTTCCAACAACATTCGACCTCGGTTCCCTTCGATTTTCATTCTTTTAGCATTTTCACCTGATGCCCTTTTCCCTTGCCTTTTACCTTTCTTCCAATTCCACATGAGAAACTGAGAGTGAAACTTGAGGACACATCATATTTTTAAACATTTTCCTTATAGGCACCGTGCTCTTATTCACCTTTTGCTCCACCTGCCTTTATAGTCTCCTGACTGTCAACGTCAGAGTCTTGTTCTCTGCTACTCAAAGTGCAATTCAAGGACCCAAACCAGTTCATACCAGCCCACAATAAGTACAGAAATTACAAGTAGACATTAAAAACTTTGATGACCATTTGGTAGAGTAATTTTATCTATTGAATCTAATAAAATATTGGTATTCTTTCAAAACTTTCATTTCTGTAGTAATAAATTGTTTTATATTCATTTGTTATTATTTATTTATTTATATTTTATTTTATTTTATTTTAACAAAGCAACAATCTACATGGATTGTAGAGCGAGATGGAAGAAAAGACAAAAACACCTGGTCTTTCACTACTGTTTGAGAAGCACTGATCTAATATCGTCTCAGTTTCTCTAAAGATGTCTTTTGATTTCCTACCTTCATGCCTTTGCCTATTTTTTTAGCTAGCACTGCCTGTCTCTCAAAACCCCACTGTGATATCCTCTCCTTCATGAGTTTTTCTTTTACACTTACACTGACTCTTACACTGAAGTTCTTTGTAATTCTGCTGAAACCTTACAACTAGTATTTATTAAATGTCATGTTGTTTAACATTCTACACAGATGCACTTGCTTGCAGTACCGCCCTGGAGGCTGCATCTGAGAGACACAATCAGGATGGATAAAAGCGTGGACATGGAAGACATAGACATCGGGGTTAAAATCCTAGTTCTGTCATTTATGAGCTGAGGGACCTGGGGTTGGTCAGCTAGCATTTTTGTGCCTCAGTTTCCTCATTTGTAAATGAGATTATTGGTAGCATCTACCTCTTAAGGTTGCTTTGAGGATTAAATGAAACAGTACGTGTGAAGCCTTAAGTGTACAGTTTCTGGCACATAGTAAACATTCAATAAATGACTGCTCTTATTTTTTTTTATTATTAATATTAGCAGCACTTTTAGACGAATTTTTATTGCCTTTGTTCAGGCATTGCCTGACATTAGTCATTTAATCACATTGTTTTGAGGAAAAAGAAGATATGAAGAAACTTCCGCAATTGCTCCAATATACCCATTTTTTGAAGACGGCTAGAATTGGTGGTGTTCAAAGGGTGGAAAGTCATTGGGTATCTGTAGATTTCTCATGAGCTTTGGAGAGCTAGTCACTGTAGCAGAGGCTTCCATGTTTAGGCACTGTGAGCATGACGCAAGTTACTCATCCGATACTTTTTCCTACAGGCAAAACTAACACTACCAAAAGGAAAATGGAATTTAAAAAAGAAACTTCAGAAGAAGGCAATATATCTAAAAATATACCCACCAACAAAAAAATTTGGCTGGAACACCTGGATTTTTCTGAGTATAATTTTAGTTAGGTAAACATTGAAAAGATATATTTTCCTAAAAGAGCTAAGAGTAATTTTGTGGAAAATGGTGGTTTGCAGTAATCTTCAGATTCAGAAGATCAATTTTGTTAAAGATTTTTCTTGTTTTAAAGAATGAGACGTAAATTTGAACAAACTGCAGTAATGATTATCAACACTCACAGTCACTTAACTGACAACTTTTAGCCTCAAATAGTCTTCTTTGTAGGATAATTATCTAAGAGCATGGACACTTAGACGTGAACTACAGTGCTAATCATGCAAAAGTTAAATGAAATGATTATTTTAATAAGTGTATAAACCACGTTAAAGATTCCTACCTATTTAAAATATGTTTTTTTAGGCTTTAAAAATAGGTTAAACACAACTAAAAATAAGCAGAATTGTATTCAGTATGTAACTAAATTAAATACCAAGCAAAATGGCACTAAATTTAAGGAAGTGGATTATGGTTTTGTGGTCAAATTATTTTGGGTATATTGAATGTGAATTCAAAAGGAAGACTATATACAAAATTCTGAGAAGAGGTAGGTGGCAAGATTTAAGATCTATTTAAGCCCTTGTTAGACAAGAGCAATAATATAAAGACATGATTTACCATAGTTTGATAATGAGAAAAACAAAGTAAAACCCAGATTTGAGGCTTTACAAACCCATCAGTAGGTATACACACACTCACTCAATACATGTGAACATACACATCAAATACGTGTGTAGATTTGAATAAAAGGAGTGGCAAACATTTTCTGGAAGAGAGGTTGAGTTGAACATACACGTTTTCAATAAAAGGGTCTGTTAGACTTGCATGGCACAAGTCTGTCAGGGAAGTGGTGAAATCATCACAGACTGTTGAGTGATTCAAAATTAGATCAGATGAAGCACTTTAAAAAAACTGTAGGAAACAATCTAATGTTGGGAAGGCAATAAAAAGATGACTTAAATTGGTGTTTTCCACTTCTAATTTTTAATGCTTTTTATGTAGTTTAAAAATAGAAAAGTATAGTATTTATGGAAGTACTGCAGTTAGGGCCTGAACTCTAAAGTGCTTATTATTTAACATTAATATATACATGACTCGTATGGCTATGTTTTAGAAACAACAGAAATGTAGTTACATATCTTGGTCCTTTCCCAACAATGAAAATGGAGCTTAGGGTTCAGAGCAGTATTTACGAAGTGGATGGTAGATTTGTCCATAAGGCTTAAGTTCTAAACACATATATCCCACATAATAGACTGTGATCTTGTAGTCAGAATTAAATAGGATTTAATGCTTTTCCCATATATAATGTGATTATAACTGATGTAAATGATGATGATGATGATGATGACAAAATGGTATATCCTTTAAGAAGTATTAACTAATACATATTTTAAAAAGGGAGATTGAGAAGCTGCTGAGAAGCAGCTTCCAGAAGAGTTATTTTTCATGTTCTCCCTTTACCCTGATCTTAAGTGAAATAACTGGCAATCAGATGCAATGACTTTATATCATTTGATTTCTCATATTCAAAAGCAGTCAAGGTAGTGTATAAATGAATGAAATCAAGTAGAAAAGCCTCAATAAATTTTTCTCATAGTTTCTAATTTAAACTTTTTTCATTTAACCTATAGTGATTTGCTTGGGGCACTCTTGTTCACCGTTGAGGAACAAGAAGTGCAAGCAAATGCACTTCAACCGGCGGTGGAGACTTCCTCTTTCCTGCAGTTGGCCTATGTGACCTTTTGGTAAATCATTGATTAGACTTATGAGCCCATGGATCAGCTGCCTGGAACCAATCCTGACAGAGGCCTTCCTTATCTGTAAATTGTTTTTAGACCAGCAGTGTTCTCTCTGAGCTGTCCAAATGCTTTAGTGGCTCACTGACCACCCCTGCCCCATGTGACTGGTTTTATATAATCTTCATAGGAAATTTGTTTTGCTAACTTCTCTTATGATCTCTGCTTCTCTAAGTATTCTATTTGATACAAAGTCTATTTGATACATGCAGAAAACAGAGAGGAAGTTCATTTGCCCAGTTCTTAGAGTTTGCTGTGGTTGTGAGGCACAATTAAATGACCACTTTATTTTCCTCTGGAAATGGTGGTGGTGGGGAGGTGCTGGCCATGAGCAATGTCTTTCTTGGTGCCTAGCCCACTGGTAGGTGGTAGAAGACATTTAGTAAATTTTTGTTGGATGAATGAATGAACGATCATTTCAAAGGTGGCTAAATTTTGGTACTACTCTTTCTGTGTTCCTTTCTTTGCAACTAGCCTCCTAGAGTGGCCAGCCCCACGGGATCTGCAAAAACACAGGAGAAAGAGAAAGGATGGGAATTTAGTGCCACAAGAATAAAAGTGACATTCTGTATGTAGCCACCTTTTGAATCATGAGCATATGTACAATCTTCCACTAGCCTTAAACTATTCAACATGACGTATTGGGGAAAAAATCATGGAATTTTGGAGACAGACACATCTGTGTCTAAATCTTAACTTTCCTATTAACTAACATTTTATCCAAAGCAGATTATTTAACCCCTCTGAGGCTCATTAAAATGGAGCCTCAGAGGGGTTAAATAATCTTTGCCTCCAAAGCTTGTTTTGAGCTAAATCACTTCATATCGTATATATGTGTGTCTCAACAATGGTAATAACAGTTTTCATTTCTTGAGTATCTTCTAGATGCCTGGGTAAGGGCTAGAGGGTATATAAATATTTTCACTAATCTTCCCACTAACTCTTCAAGGTGAGTAGTGTCTTTCTCACTATACAGGCAATTAAATTGAGAGTAATGTAAAGGAACCTATATAAGGTCACAGAGCTAACAAGTGTGAGAGCAGAGAAGTGACTTTAAATTTATCTAATTCCCCGGGTTTTAATTTACTCTGATTAATAAATATTATTTCCTTCCTTGCCCAAAGAAATGGAAGTAACACAATTTTCCCTTTTCTAATTAATCTTTGTTTACCCTTGTCTATATGGTAGTAGCTCTATTTCCTATAGTAAACCCCAATAGGCCCAATAGTTTTGCTCATTTGAGCCACTCAGATAACTCAGGTTTTCTATGACCCAACCCAAGGGAGAAAACAAATTATAGCCTTCTGGATATGTAAAAGTACAGCAGTTTCTACCTTCTGTCATGAATAGGGTCAGAGATTCTTCTGGCTGTGCATCTACATGTGATGTCAGTGGGAACTTTGAATATGAAGGGTGGAGACGCCTAACTGTCTTTGGAGCTGTTAGCAGAAGCTGGAAATGCTTATAACTATAGCTGAGTCAGAAGAATATGAACCTTGGACTTATTCTCACAGTTGCCTTTAATTAAATGAGCCTGGCCCTATTAGATTTTGGCAAGTCAGCTATTCAGAAAGCATCAGCTTTCTGGAAATCTAACTTTCTTAAGTTTTGTTTCTACTCAGTTTCTTGGATTTTGTTTTTGTTTTCCATTGTCAGATTTATAATCGCTTAGATACGAATTGCTGTGGATTCAGACCTCGAAAGGAAGATGCCTGTGTACAGAATGGACTGAGGCCGAAATGTGACGACCAAGATTCTGTGGCTCTAGCACACATTATCCAGAGAAAGAATGACCCAAGGCATTTGGTCTTCATCGACAACAAAGGTTTCTTCGACAGAAGTGAAGATAACTTAAACTTCAAGTTGTTAAAAGGCATCAAAGAGTGAGTTTTATGATGGAGTAACATATGTGATATATCAGATTTGTATTAAATAAGTAGTAAAGTTTTGAAAAAACTCACATCCTATATTTCATTGATTTAACCCTTGAAATGAATTTTAGATGTAGAATCTGGGAATGGAGGGCCAGAAAATGGAAATGAACCCAAGTGGAACAGGACAAGAATGCCCCCAGGGTGCCACTGTCACCAACCTACAAAGCTCCTGGCTACATTTTACCTCCATCATGTTGATTGGCCCTCACTGTGAAAATCCATGTGGATTACGCTGGAAGCATGCAAGAATCTCTAGAATAGGAACTGGCAAAACAGGGATAAACAGGCAGCAGAGGCTCCATTACTAGAGCATGGGACAGGGGAGCTAACAGACATGTAGATATTGACATGGCAGGATGTCTAAAGGCATAATAAGCTCAAGTGACTTTAATAAATGTGGCGAAAAAATTAGTCAGCTGAGTAGAACACTGTATCCAAGGACAGCAGCCGTTTAATTCAGATAAGAGGGTTTTTGAACATTTGGAAATACTTCCAGTAGACATAGATTATGGGAGAGAGTATCTTGAATTTACATTTAATGGAAAAAAGGAAACTAAGACAGTTGATAGTGACTGTAGAGTCTGAACTATTCAACCTGCTCTAGAGACTGAGGCTAGATTTAAGGCCTCACCTGTAGCCACTCTTCACAGTCTTCCTACCTTAGTCAGAAATCAGAGTGACTAAGAAATGAGATTTGAAAATAGAGGAGTGAATTAGTAAAATTGTTAACCAGCTGTGTGAAGATAAGTGCTGGCTGGAAAGCACATGAGCAGCTCTAAAAGTGAGAGTAGAACCCAGGTCTCCCAAATCCAAGTCCAGTAATTTTTTGCAGTACATGTGCTGTTGCGATTACTTCTGTTAATAATACTCTGAAGAGTACAATAGTTCTGAGAATTATTGCTGAGAATTAGGTAATGTGAATTTTATGTACTTTTAACCCTAGAGACATTGAGAGTTTCATGAGCCCCAATTTCATGAGTTTTTGCCATGTTTTGCCCTGTTAATACCTGCTCCTCACATCTCTTTGTAGATTGAAGGTAGACTATACCTTCAATCTTCTCTCTTCTAGGTGTCTAAACTAAGGAAATTTTATATGTAAGAAAATTTGCACACCTAAGGCATTATTTTGGAGTCGATATTATGGCATCTTCTTAAATCCCTAAATTTTCTCTTAGAATTAAGAGTACCTGTCCATCCATTCATACAAATATAAATACTGTTTTATTTATGCTTTCAAAGAAGATTTAACTTTAAATGCATTATGAGGAGTAATGAGTTTAGTTAACTCATCTTTGAATATGTAATTTACACATCGAAAAACAAAAACGATGACTTTGCTAACCCAGATTTATGCGTAGGATAATCCTATTAATCAAATCAGTATAATGCAAAGACAAATAATTTTTTGATTTTCCTTTATGAAAATAACTCGCCACTAAAGAGATCCCTGGTTTTAAGAGTTTCGTCTCATACATTCTGCCACAGCTAAATTAGTTGAAGGGCCATAGAGTTTTTAAATCATGAGTTGTTAATACTGCATAGAGCAAAAATGCTTACTTAATTAATACTTTGGCCACTAAATTACATACTGAATGTCTTCAGGGAGCTCAGAACACCTTATCAGCATTATTTAATTCCGCAGTTACTTAGACTCATTAAGCACAGCCAGCTCTGTGGCCTTTGGGCTTTCTGCAGCCTCAGAAGTGCGGGGGCACCTGGATCCCTTGCATTCAAGCCCCCTGAGTGCTTTCCACAACTTGCTCCATTGAAATTTGGAAAAGGTGCTTAGAAGGCTAGAAACTTCTGGCAAACTGCACTTGATACCAGTATATATTCTTGATTTAGTTTTTTACAATATTTTCACCAGCATTTTAATGAAAGCTAGGAGAGGCCAAATTAGTCATTCAGCAAAATATTACTAATGATTTGGATCCAGAAATTTTACTAAGTCCTCTAGATAACGTATGTGCTAGACCCCTGGCCTTAGTCTTTCTATATGAAGAGCAGAAAGCACAATATACTCTCTTAAGGTCATTCAGTAAGGATCCTTCTATATTAGCCCTACGTTTTCCAGAGAGATGGTTTGTTGTAGAATGCCCTGGCTCTAAAATCTGCCTTTTGCTAAGTTTATTTGAAAACAATTTAGTTTCCAGTTTGATAAAATGCTCCCAGATCCTCAGAATTCCTGAAATATAAATCTGAATCAAGGACAATTCTTTACTTAATTGGGCATTTTGTTATGATTCTTTTCCTTTTTACTACATATATTTTGTATTATTTCACATTAAATTTAGTCATGCAACTTCTGCTCAGGAAGGGAACTTGACGGAAATTGTTAGCATTTTGCTTCTCATATTTTCTTTCATGAAACCTTACATTGACACTTATGAGAATACTATTCTCCTTGACAGATTAAAGTGGTTTCCATGGGTGAAATGGAGTTTAAGATTGAGGAAAGTATTTTTCCTGGAATAACAGAATCCTTTTTCATTCTGTGCCTCTCTTTGCCTACATATAATGACTTTAAGTAATATGTTAGCATGTCATGTTCTCAATGGTATAGAAAATTCAGTTCCCTTGAAAACATATTATTCTAGTATATTTATTAAGAGAAGTATCTGCTTGACAGTGACAAAATGTTTTGATTCTCAAGGTACTGTTTGATGATGTGATTTATGCCAGATTAATGAAGGAAAGAGCAGTTGGGTAAGGCATATTTCCAAATAATTACTAAGAATAAAATATCATTTTATCTTTTCAGGTTTCCTGAATCTGCAGTTTCTGTTTTGAAGAGCCAGCACTTACGGCAGAAGCTCCTTCAGTCTCTCTTTCTTGATAAAGTTTATTGGGAAAGTCAAGGAGGTAGACAAGGAATTGAAAAGCTTATCGATGTAATAGAACAAAGAGCCAAAATTCTCCTCACCTACATCAATGCACATGGGGCCAAAGTATTACCTATGAATGAATAATAAAAAGATGTCCTGGCTAGAGTACTAGATACATTTGTGTGTTTTTGTTTTTAAATCAAGTATGCAAACCTCAAGTCCTTTTAGAAACGAGGCAATGTAGATTAATACATAAAATAAATGAATTTAATCAAGTGTATGTGACTGGCCTGAGCACTATAAGCCTACTTATAAAGAAAAACATACTCCTCAAAAAGTTTGCTTATATTTTTTTACTAACATCATGTCATGTGAGTCTCAACATCTGATTGCAGAATATATGCAATTATTATTCTAACTAGCTTTGTAAAACATTTGTCATGTTGTTTAATAGAACAGCATAAACTGACTCCTTTAATAAATTATATTTATGCCATTTTTGCTCGTCCGACCAAATACTGATGGGAATGATTCTTGACATTTTTTTGTTGTTGCCAATTATTAAAACAAAGTAGTCCTAGTGCTTACCTAACTCTACAAAAGAAAACTGAGGCACATGATCTGCAAATACATTAGTGCATACAATGATTCTAAATAGAAATGGTGAGTTATTTGCAAAACAATCAATGTATATTTTATTGTATCTATAAATAATCAGGCATTTCTGTAATTCTGAGCAGCGAGAATCACATATTCCATTCCTTTTTAGAAATTTATTTTGTCAGTGTAGAAATCATCCAAATCTGACAATTTATACATTAGGTAGTTTACTCTCTCAATTTTGGTACAATTTATGTCTAGTGGCTTAGAAATTAAGTAATTTTAAGGTATGAAGTTACCTATTTGAAGCTATACTTACAGAGTATCTTTTTTAAAATGGATGCTCTTTTTAAACATTTTGTTAGTTTTAAAAAGGATGAACTATAAATTCTGTACATTTCATTAATAATAGTGATTTCTTTAAATTCGTTATGTGTAATTATGTTTAAACTAATTTAATTGATATTGCCTAGATAATGACAGTAGGACCAGATATTGAGTGTGTTTGAATATATTGTTTGGCTTATTCCAATATGAGAAATATGAACAAAATAAATTAAAACCTGCCTCTGATAAATTCTCTTCAAGGAAAACACATGACTAGAACTAAAATGGCAAATTTAGATACTATTAAACCTTAAATAATTCTCTCCAAACTCCCTGTACTAAACTTTTAATTACGTGGAAGGATTTGGAGCTACAGTATTTGTGTGTTGGGTCTTTATATCCTTGGAAGATACCCACATCATCATATAAGATAGATAGATGTTCATATAGTGGTTTCAAATCTTGAACAAATCACTACTCTCCCACCCCCACACACCTGATACCTTATTTAAAAGCTGATATGCTGACTTTTTCTTTCCCTGAAAGTTTGAAAATACAATTTAAGAATGTTTTTAGTAAGAGGAAGAACATACCTATAGATTCTAATTTATACAAAAGTATAGGGGCAAAATGTCAAAATAACATGTTAACTACAAAAGAAGATAGACTAAGGAGATTGGGATCATTTGATCATCTAATTATAACTTTATCAGACTTTTTCAAATATTACATTTTAGCCCGCTTATGTGCTGGGCTGACCTTTGGAGGTTTGGTCTTCAGACCATTCTCTTGTTTGATTTTCTTTCTGTAGAACTGATTTCCTCCCTCTGATCCCGCAGCTTCAGAGTACTCTGGCTGTGTCGAGTCTCCACTTTTAAATACAAATACCCATTGTATCTGGGTTTTTTAAGGTTGCTTTTTTTCTCTGTCATTATATTGATGAAAAATTAGCCTAACAAAAGTTTGGGGTCCCAGGTTCTACTTTGAGCCACTGACATGAAATAACTCTGTCAAGTTGCCTTACACCTTGTCTTATCAAAATGGTATATTTGCATTTTAATACGTTTTTATGGAATATATCATTTTCATCCAAATTTGTGACATTGGCGGTAGGAATTCCAGGCTTCTTAGAAGTCAGCTTTAATTTTGTCTCAAACTACCTGCTTTTGGGCAGCTTGGTCCTCTCATATGTGGGTCTGGCTTTGTTTATTTGCATTCCAAAATACTTAACATTAAATAAAAGGTTTGGGAACTCATGTTAGTTTTAGTCACCTTTGCTTTTCAACAATGTGTTTTCTTTTATAATCAGTGAATAATTCATACTGTATTATTTTTTAATAATGGATAGCTGAAGGCCAGGCTTTTAATTCTAATAAGCGATGCTCTTCTTTTCTCTTTCTGAAACAATGAGAATACTCTGTGCCTTTCACGTGTACTCAGATTATGCTGTGATTTGGTTCACGTAAGTGCATTATGTGATTTATTTATAACTTGATAAATTTAAAATAGAATTACCTTCGCAGACATACAAAGTTGTGTGATTTATTTTCTTTAAGCTGATGACATGAAAATAAATACATATCTTAAAAATCTGTAATAAAAATATTAGAAATTAAAGATGCATGCTTTCTATTTCTAGATGGTTTATTTTCTTTTGTAGATTGGATTACTTTTCAGAAGTTAAGTATAAAAGAATGTTTGCTACCTTTCTTATAAAAGAAACAATTGACTAGTCAAAATTTATATTGGATTGTATTTGTGAATACATATATTTGATATTATTGATAGGCTTTTTTTGGTGTACATATAGCATTGTGTTAGATGGTATGCAAATTAGTTAACAGATACCATAAAGTGTAAGAATATTTAATTTTTGGTTTTCTTTGCTTCGAGTGAGTCTTACAATTATGTTTAAAATTTTCTTTATGGAGTTCATATTTATTAAATTTATTAGGTACCTACCTGGAAACTTTTAAAAAAAAAATTTCCCCCAGCTTTATTGAAATATAAGACAATTAGTTGCTCATATTTGCAATGTACAATTCAGAGGTTTTTTTTCAATTATAGTTGGCATACAATAATATATTAGTTTCCGTTGTACAGCATAGTGATTAGAGCTCAAGCGATCGTCCCACTAAATCTTGTACCCTTCTTCCCCCTTACATATATCTTACATCATTGTTCTATTTTCCTTATGCTACACTTTATGTCTCCATGACTATTTTGTAACTATCTATTTGTATTTCTTAATCCCTTTGCCCTTTTTCACCATCCCCTCAACACCTCTCCTGTTTAGTAACCCTCAAAATATTCTCTGTATCTATGAGTTGGTTTCCATTTTTGTTGCTATTGTTGTTTATTTTGTGCTTTAGATTCTGCATGTACATGAAATCGTGTGGTATTTGTCTTTCTCTATCTGACTTCATTTAGCGCAATGCCCTCTAGGTCCATCAAGGCACTATCTTTTTCCATCCCCTTCCTTTTAGTCTTTAATCTGAAGTGAGTCTCTTGTAGGCAGCATAATGTAGGGGGTCTTGTTTCCTTATCTATTCAGCCACCCTATCCTTTAGTTGGAGCACTCTTTTCCATTTGAGACAGTCATTGATAGATATGCAGTTATTACCATTTTTTATCCAAGATTTTGGTACATGGTTTTTCTTCTTAAAGAAGTCCCTCCAACATTTTCTGTAGTGGCTTAGTGTTGATGATTTTAAGATTTTCTCTTGGTATATAACCGTTGGCATTTTAATTATGATGTGTCTTGGTGTGGGCCTCTTTTCATACCTCTTTTTTGGGACTCTCTGAGCTTCTGGGGTTGTATGTCTATTTCCTTCACCAGGTTAGGGAAATTTTCCAACATCATATCTTCAAATAGCTTTTCTACTTCTTGTTATCTCTCTCCTCCTTCAGGTACCTGTATTACATGGATGTTTTTACAACTTAGTTTTGTCCCAAAGACTCCCTAAATTATTATTATATTCTTGGCTTCTTTTTTCTTGCTGTTCCGATTAGATGAGCTTGGCCTTTCCATTGTCTATATTGGTTGTTTGATCCTCTTCATTTACTCTGTTAATTCCCTCTAATATACTCTTCATCTCAGATAATGTTTTCTTCATTTCTGACTGGTTCCCTTTTATAATTTCCATTTTTATGGTTTTTTTAAATCTCCTTGTTAAAGTTCTCACTGAGTTCATCTACTCTTCCCCTAAGTTCATTGAGCATCTTTGTAACCAGGGTTTTGAACTCTGTTTCTGTTGGATTGCCTGACTCCATTATTCCTGGATCTCTGTTCTTTTCTCTCATATGGTTCCTGCTTCTTTGTCTTCCCATATTGGCTGCCTTTCTGTGTCTTTTTCTATGTACCCAGCAAAACTCCTAAGTTTCCCAGTCTTATTAACGTGGCTTTGTGTAGTAGGTGTCCAGAGGCACAGTCCTGAGAGGGGGTCAGCAGCAGGCCAGTCTTAGCCCCAGCACGTGTCCCTCCGGGGCCACCTATTAAGATTCAGCAAGCAGTTCACAAATACTGTGCTTATAGTTGCCTTAAGAAACCATGCCATAAAACGAGGCCAGCTGCCACCAGTATAGGTTTTGGAGACTGATCAGCAAGTTGTGCAGGACTCACCAAGACACAACTGAATGTGGCTTGGATAGGGCAGTGAGTTGGGGGAGGCGGAGTTTCAGAGAATCTCTGGGCGATGGGACCTGTGTTATCCAGTTTGATGACGTTTCAGCTATGACGGCATTGAGTCTGCACACCTGGAGCAGGGAGGGCTCAACAGAACAATGGATACCGCCAGCACTTCTGTCAGGGAGAAAGCCTCGCCTCCGGCTCTTTCTCTGACAGCTCAGCGTCCCCCTCGTAAGTCACTGGTGCTGCCCCACCTTCCCCACCAGCAGCAGACTGGGCGCAGGTCTGTCAGAGCCAGTGTCTGTCACTGCAAAAGTCCGCTCGCGAACACGGCCCCTTTAAGAGGCATCTGCAGCTGCCGCTGCTGTAGCTTCTGTCCCACTCAGCTGCTCGGGATCGGGCAGCCTCGTGTCTTCGACCCATCCTACCTCCTCCCATTGCACATCCTACCTCCTCCCATTGCAGGGTGAGTTCTTATTTCTCTCCCTAGTTATAGGGCTTGTTCACCTAGGCCCCAGGCAACTCTGCTTGCTGTTGGCACCATGTTTCCGTCACAACTTTGATGTGGTCGTAAGAACAGATGAACAAAGCCTCTATCATCTATGCCATTTTTCACCTCGGGAACTTCTTGAAATATAAAATGTACTAGAATTACGCTCAAAATATTTATAATCTCTGAACTTGTGTAACGGCTTGTTTTTCCAATGTACCTTTAAATATACTTTACATTATATCTAATGAATAAAATAACCTAGATGTAGAGTCATTAAGAGCTTTCATTCATGAAAGATACTGTGACTTGTCAGAAAAGTTGTCAGACACTTGGAAATAGCCAGGAGAGATTTTTGAGTGTTCTTTCACTGCAGTGCTGGGTTTGATTTCGTATTGAATGGGCTATTTAACGTGTTGCAGGGCAGAGGTTAACTTGTGGGTTTTTATACCACAGGGATGCCAATAATTTCTGTCTGGTGGAAAAGAAAACCCTCCTGGTTTTACAGCTTATTAACCTGTTGAACATTAACCAGCTTTACATCTAGACCATCATTCTTGTCCTAACATTGCCTATAAATATTTAGCTTTTGAAATACTCTGAAATGACTTTACCACCTTACTGGTTCCCTTGTAATTAATTATTTGAGTAAAATCTTTGACATATACTCATATTACATTTACATAGGCATCACAATTTTGCCTTTTTGAAAAATTTGCATTAATACACTTTGATTGCTGGATCATATAATTTTATTTGCTTGAGAGTCATGATTTTTAAATTTTTGAAAATTTTTCTTTAACAAATTTTCAAAACATACTTATGTAATTTAAGATCTGAATGGTACCAGGTGATCAGCATCTAGAAACTCAGGCTTAAAGAGGCAAAGTTATTTGCTTGAATTTACCCAAATGATTGATTTAAAATCTTCAGTGTTGGAACTGATTTAAAGTGAGAGTCAAAACCTTCTTAGATATTTCATTATCTACAATAATAAAACAAGAAATATTAAATTAATAAACCCTGAAATTCTTACATAAGCATATTCATGTGTATTAATAATTTTAGAACATACTTTTTGTGAACTAGCAGGGAGTGGTATAAACAAGGAAGCTTCTCATACTACGAAACTTTTGATAATCACATAGTACAATTGATTGAGAATCTACTATGTGTCATTTTGAGTGCCGGGCAGTGTGGACGTACACATTAATAAGTAACTTTTAATGTGTTAATCATCAATTGGAACCTGTAATTAGACTTTATGTTATAGCTTTAGTGGAAAAAGTTGAGGAAAGCAATTCTTTGAGGAATATCTAGAAATAAACTGACTCTAGAAAGAGAATTTTTTACTTATGGTGAGTTTTACTATAATCCATTGTTGACTACCATTGCTTATTGCTTAAAATGGCAATTTGGAGTCATTTTTGTGGCTGGACAAATGGACCTATTTGTTTTAATATGTCCTGAGGACATCACTCTGTTCCAGTATGGTGGTACAATGGTAGATGTTCATAATGAATATCCTGATTATTCAAAAACATGCTAGCTTATGTAATTTTAGGATTGCTTCGAGAAGCTGAATAAGAGTATAGCCTGGCTACATTATTCTGCATATAAATTCAAAGGGCTTTAGGACCCCACAGGAAGCCATTCATGGAACTCTTTCCTCTCAGGTGTGACCTCCCAGGTTAAGAACTCTTACTTGACAGCGTGTTTAAGAAGGTGGGAAGTAATATACACTTTAGAAAAATCTTCACCTAATGTGTTTTAAACGTTTTATTTTTATAGAATGGTGAAAACTTAGGTTTTGGAAAAAATTACTTAAATGACTTTTTTAAATATTTAAACTTAAAATCATTTAAATTTTATTTAAACAGTATTTAACGAGGTACCAATAAAAGTTGAGGAACCACTTTTGTAATACTTTAGAAAATTCACTACCATTCACTTAATCAAGTAGAGAATAAAATTCTTTGAGTTTATTTTCATTTAATCCTTTAATTTATTAAAGAGTTACCTGACTTTTTTTTTTTTTTTGCTCTGATATGCAAAAGATCTGAGATAGTCACTTATCTTATAGTGTCTTAGAGTATGAGGAAAGTTAAGTTAATGTATACCAATTAAATGAAGTTATT